CACACTTGGAGCTCCGAAAAAGGGACACTATCGAGCGGCAAATACCCTTAAGGGAGTACCGAGTACCCCCCGCCGCATCCCGGGTTAGATATCGAATCACGCCAGATCTAGCTTGCGTAGCCAGACGTTCCTAGCCGCTCYCAGAGAGTTTGGGCCGGAGAGGGGTTTCTCGGGACCAAACTCTCTCGGGGCGGCTAGGAACGCCTAGCTACKCAGCCTACKCCAGATCTTATTCTTTTTACTCTCAAGAGATTCGATAAAAAATAGTCTCCATATTGTTGTACTTCAATAGCTTGGTTATTGTTTTAATCTTTTTTAAATGGCAGTCCCGTTTACTGTTAAGACCTATTAATGTAATAATCTATTAATCATTAAATGATATGGAAATCAGTGTAAGTCAAAGTCATCAGGGTTGCTGATGAGTGTTGGGTACAATATATGGTTTATTTTAAATGATGGAGCRAAGTTTAGAGGAAAAAATCGCTGTTTTGGCGAATAATCGCCATATGATTGGCGTCCACTCGCATATTTCTTGTCGTATAAGTGCTTCTGTGCCATTTCAAAWGAGATTAGGAAATCTTGAAGATTCTCTTCTTCGCCTGAGCAATGRCCATGCCGAAGGTCTATTTTACRCAATGCTGCTACGCTTTTCACCCGAAGCCGAAAGCACTACTTCTACRTATCAGCTACGTTATTTTGAAACGGGTGCATTCAAAGGATGTTTGGCGACAAAAGGCAATCTCTTGTTCAGTTCAGATAATCATACCGCAGGTGAAGAGTCCATTACAATGCTTCCTTGGATGGTATACACAGATGTGGACGTGGAAGCAGCGGATTCTTCTAAATTGAAATCAAAAGGTAATATAAAATGGTATGATTTCACATCTTTAGTTTAAACTTTTAATATAAGATGCTATAATTTGTTATGTTATTTATGACAGAATCAAAGAAACGATTGAGAACAGACATGAACTTCAGAAACTTGATCTCCCTAAGTCTTCCGTTGACACCTCGCTTGAACAGCTCCAAAGTGATGCACTTTTTGCATCTGGAATTGAATGCTTAGATTATGTAGTATACGTTATTCGCACTGGTTACAAGATAACACCATTCAAGAAGAAAGCGTCGACTGACAATGATTGGTAAGTTTGAGAAAGCTGTTGTTGTTTCTTGTTTGTTTAGCTTATTATTATTATTTCTTGTGATTTCATGCAGTCATCTTGTTTTAAAAAGTAGAATGCTTTCATTCAACTTGTGGAAAATATCCCAGACTATTTTTTTTTAATTTTACATACCCTACCTCCGGACTATATTATTTCAGCGCTGAAAGCGCGACCCTAGCCCAGACGGCCCCCAGACAATTGAGACTATACCCTATCCTAGATAAAATCAAGCTGCCAACGGCAACAAAACTCGGRGATTGTGAGAGCTGCTTGCAAGATGGTCAAAGATGTATTTTGAAGTATTCTATTTACAAATTATATACGTTTTTTTAACAAAAAGATGTGAAGGTGATTACAAAATCATAATTAGTCGGGCTTCTTATAGCCGACGTCTAGGTCGACTTTAAGTTTTACCTTGTAGCCTATCTATCTATTTGTGTGTCATGTCGCGTTTGGACCACCGGAAGTTAACAATTTAATAATTAACTATTSGWTTAGCTGTGTTATTACATGACTGGAAGCTCAAACGTATAGATGTACGAATATCGTTAGTAAATGTTAGATGATACTTGCGCTTTTATGTGATATGAAAAATATTCGTTTACAAATGCGGTATCTGTGATCTCATCGCAATGAATCAGAAGTACGCGCATGTGCGGATCGCATGGAGCTTCGAGTACCGTAATTGCTCGAATAAGCGACTCCCCCGATTAAGCGCCCCCTATTCTTCCGCGGTTGGAGCTTTATAATGGTATATTTAATATATATAATGATTAAATTGATTCAAAAAAGGTCACCAAGTTTTAAAAATGTTATAGAAATTAATTAGCATACTGTTAAGCTGCTTTTATATATCAATAACAACATTGTTGTATTGGTTAAAGTGCTTGTCTTATSAAAAAAATTTWAATTATTGAAAATTATATTGTAACGGACCGAGAAACGGCTAGTAAATACACAGTATTGACTCGTTGAAGGACCTTTAATGCTTATAGCAAGACTGCTAGAAGTGAACTGATTATTTGTTACAATTGTGCTCTATTTATGTACAATTCTATGTCTAATTTAGTTATATTTGTAATCATTACGTATTCGCGCGTAGGCTAGTCTAACCCAAGATTTACTTGAGTTACGTAAGTCAACAAAGGAGTGTCTGTGACGTTGCGTATGTCACGGAAAGGTCACGTACTCTAGCTTCGCTACACTATCCCCCTCTTAGCAAAATGACATGACCTCATGTCGTGCAAGATTAAAATCAAAACAGATTAGGGTGGATTAAAGTAATCAAACAAATAATGGCTAGACTAAGCCGTCTACAATTGTCACGTTATTCCTCTGTATCCATGGCAAAGTCCTTCATCCAACTTGGCGGTTTCCTCTCTCGTTTAGGTCTTGTAGGTCTTGTTTGTTGCACATCAGCTGCAGGTGCTGTGCCTTGCCTTTTGTCCTTTTTCTGCTTGTTACTCTTTTTGGCACTTTTCTCAATTGTTGGCTCGTTGCTAGGTAACAGGATCTGTCCTTCCCGCTTTTCTGTGTGGATTTTCTCGGCGTCTTTCTCGGTGTCGGTGATTTGTTTTGTCAACCAGTCGGGAACGTTTTCACCCTCGTAAGGCTTTAGACGGTTGTGATGGACTACCTTCGKCTTGCTTTTTGCTCCCTTCTGGATGCGATAGGTTAAGTCATCTAAACGCTTCAACACCAAGAATGGTCCTTCGTACACGTCGTTCTGTAGTTTTGGGCTTCGGCCTTTCTTCCGTTTGGGGTTGTAGAGCCACACAGGATCACCATAGTTGTACACATGTCTATGTACCCCACGGTGGTCGTAGTAGTGTTTCTGTCTRTCTGTCTCCATCCTCAGATGTTCCCTAGCAAAGTCGTGCACTGCCTGGAGTCGTTCTCTTAGTGCTTGTACATATGACGTTTCATCCTTTGTGTTACCATCATTGTCGGGCGTGCCAATAAGTAGGTCTAGGGGCACTTCAGCTTCCCTGCCGAACATCATCATACTTGGGGTGTGGCCAGTTGTCTCGTGGACTGACGTGCGGTATGCCATCATGAGAAGAGCAAGGTGTTCGTCCCAGTCTTTTTGGTTCTGCGAGGYGAACTTGGCCAACATGGACTCCAGTGTGCGGTTGTAGCGTTCTACCATTCCGTCAGATTGAGGATGCAAGGGCGTGGTYCTGGTCTTGTCGATCCCCAATAAGGCGCACATCTGGGTGAAGACCGCTGACACGAAGTTGCGTCCCTGGTCAGAG